ACAGTGTTTTCTGAATGAACTTTTAGTCCAAAGAATTTTGGGCGTTTCTTGAAAAGAGTAGGGGTGTAACCCCGGCATCCTGGCCAAATTTCCTATTGGCCCTTACCAATCATGGCCTCCTAATAATCCCCATCTATGAATCGGCTACATTACTGTGCTCTCCTCCCCACTGATAGCTGATGTGTGGTGAGCATTCTGGCGCACTATGGCTGACGTCGCATCATCCAGGTGGATGCTGCACATTGGTGGTGGTGGAGGGGAGTCCCCATTACCTGTAAAGCGCTTTGAGTGGAGTGTCCAGAAAAGCGCTATATAAGTGTAAGCTATTATTATTTATTTATTTATTTATTTATTTATTTATTTATTATTGTTTGGTTTCGTTTATTGTTTCACTTTTCTTCCAGCATCCACCAGTCATCTCAGTAAATGAGTGCAGGTAAACATTAAACTATTTGATTTATGACATTTGGAATGTTTAATACCCTCCTATGAGTCAAATTCTCCCTTAAAGACATACAGTACAAACCAGGATCATTCATTTCAAGTAGATTGTTTTCTCTCAGACCTGTTGATAAGTGTATCTTTCATGCGGATGCTATCCTCATTTCCCTTTCAAAGCTTATCATTCTGTTGTGTGAAGACATTAAAAACAGAAAACAAAAAGCACACACTCTCTTCCACATGCACCCACACATGTTTACAAATTCAAAAAATATTCCCAGCAGTGAAGCAAATAGTTCTTTCAAAAAAGATGCTGCAGAAAGCCAAATCAGTTTTTTTGAGAATGACTATTTTTGTTTCATATCAAACAAACCCGTTCTGAAATATCCCCCACCTGCAAGATCTCAGTGGCTTTGATTGAGTAAAAGGAAAAAAAGAAAACATCTCAAATCCTATCAACTGTCAGTTACACTGGATTAAGAGCATATCATTGTGCACAGTCCTATGTAGAAAAAAAAGCTTGTTCTCAAAAATGTGCGTACTTTAGAGGTAAGGCTTGAATATGTGGTGTGTTATATAGAATGAACAAACATGGAATGAACAGTGTCAAAAATATTTCCTTTTAGTTCACTACAGATATGTGATATATACTGTACACTGTAATCCCTATCTATTGGCACATCTTGTGTAAATGATAACTAGTTGTGAAGGGGTAAACAAAGAAACAGGGAAAAAGCAGACACCCTCCTGTATGTTTTTAGTGGGGAGGTTACTTGGATCGTGCTTTAATCAACCCAATCAAGATAAGAAAGGTAAAGTCAATGCAGAGCCACAAAGCCTCATCAGGCCAGAGCTCATCCTGGTTTCCCTAGTGTTAGCAAACTAGGGAGCACGTGACTCCACCCTGCATTAAACACTGGTTCACCACAGGGATTCCACCCTTCACACTGCTGCTCAAGGTACATCCGCAGTGTGTGCAGCAGTTCTGTCTGCTGTGAGTCCAACGGCTTAGCCACTACACTGTGGCACCCTTACTTTTACTAAGAGACCAAGTTAAAATAAAAATATAAAACACAATGTAAAATTGGTTTTAGAACACTCACTATATAGGATGTTTTCTTTTTTTACTTCCTTCTTGAGGTATGGATATGCAGTACTTGGAGGGGGAAAAAAGTAATATTAGAAAGACATTGCTTTTGTCCTGCAGATGACACATTATATAGCACAGCAATCTGTTTTTTGCAAGTTAAATTCTATTATGTGTTGTTACAGAAAACAACTAACCTATATCTGCACACTGGCCTACACATTTTGAGCCCCCTTTTCTGTCATCAGACAGTTCTCTGCCTAGTACAACTGCTTTACTAAATTAAATTTCAGTTACTTCTATATATATATAGTCCTTGTAATTTTTCCCCTTTGTCACATTTGTTTGTGGCCTCCTCTGTCCTTCCCCCTTGATCAGAGTTCCTTTGGTCTCTGGAGAGACGTGGTGGGGACTGAGGGGAGAGGGGGAGGGGGCTGCTCTCAGATTGAGCTGTCTGTGCTCCCCCAAACAAATCACAGTCTGTGTTGGCTTGGAAACGCATTTCTCTTTCATTCTGTCTGGCCTGTGTTCACCTCAGAATCACTGAGAGTTTACTGCAGAACCAGAAAAGTTTCCATATTTTATTTTTATTACGGCTTATTATGTTTTAAAGAAAGTACTAAATATAACATATCCTTCTTTGTGAAAATTTTGGAAGTGTTTTAGTTTTTTTAAGCATTTTGTTTTTCCAGAAATGCGGGTCAAACTTTCAACTGAAAGCAAAGAAAACTTTTTTTTTTCAAAAGGAAAATTCTCCCAGCTCTTTAAGGCTTTCATGTCTTGGCTTGTTTCTCTAAGCAAGAACTTGTTAAAAATGAGTTGTTGCACACAATTATAATATAATTCTAGAGTGTATTGCAAGCATAGGTACGAATGAACATCTGAATGTTTCCATACTTAATCTATGTATTTCCATATTAATTCCAGAATGAATGCTCATAGGCTAAAATTATTTTTTATTGGCCATAAAGTCAGTAGGTTTTGAGTACGTACTTTCATTTGTGGTGAAAAACAAAGGTAGATTTTTCTCAGACACAGAAACGGAGAGAAACCAAGAGAGCCACTTGGTAATAAAATTCTATAAATAAACTTGTAGTTTTAGCTTTTTGACTTTTCTAGAATACTCGAGAGCTTGTCGAAATCTTCGGTATTAGTGTCTAGTGTTTTAAAATCATGTTCTGCGCGTAAGAATAGATGCAAAGTACTGAAACCTTTCATAATTCAGAAGGCAAAAGGCGTGTACAGCCACATGCTTTGGATTTTTATTATAAGTTAATACATCATGTGAAGAATGTCTCCTGTTGCATTTTGTGGAGTCTTGAGTTTTAAGCAACGCAGAGTGTGCTTAACTGCACCGTGTTCTGCAACATTAGCATCATACACCTAAGCAGTCATCACTCCCATCTCTCTTTAACTTAATTAAGTCACACACATTTTTTCACACATAGCTTTTCAGCAAACCCAGCATTACGTTTAACAGAGAGTAATCTTTCAAAATATACTTACAGCAGGTAAAATAAAGTCAGATTGGAATTTGAAGTTATTTTAAAACTTAAGTGTGGTCTGTTTGATAAAATGTCCATTAGTGTTATTTCATTAGCTTCTTGTCTGGTTGAAAAACAGCTATTCTCACAATGTCAACAGTGGTTTACACAAAAGTTGTGAAGCTAGAGTAATGTTATTACCTTGGTTTCTTTCAGTAAAGAATAAGTTGGGTGCAATCCTTGGATATATTAGCTGGCACTTTCTTTTTTTGTATGATAAGGCAGTACTTCCACTTAATTTTATATCTCTGAAACATAAATACTGTATATTTCATCCCAACGTTTAGTACATTAATATTGTCCACTTTTTTGTGTTCTTCATCTCCACTGTACATGAACTGTAATGATCCAATGAAACAGTTCCCTAAATTCTATGCACAAAATGGAAAATTTACATAATTATAGGTATAGGAATTTACACAGCTGCTGTTATGGAATTTATTCATTAATTCTAATATTGGATACATTTTAATTAATTACATAGATGTTTATTTTGGACCTTCCAGTTTAAAAAAATTACTGGTTAGAAAAGCATTAAGTTCACAAAGCATCCCATAGGAAAATACAATAGGTTTTTTAAATGTCCTTTTTGAGACTTGAAATGCTAAGTTTAAAAAAAAACCTTTTTGCACCTTATCACAAAGGGAAAAATTTCATTACTCTGTTTCACTCTTCCTAGTGTGGAGTTGGAATTTTTTTTCTTCAGTTTTGCTTAGAAAAATGATAATACAAATATATGAGGTTATGTACATACACTGAGATATAAGATTTTTTTTTAAAGCACAAATAGTTCTGTTTATCAGCTATAAGATCACAGCCACTGACTTTTTGGCTCCTTTTGTGGCAATAACTGTGGCTTTCCTTCTTAGCCAAAACTGGAAATAGAAATTTCCTTTTGTAGGGGTTGTTTGTCTCCGATTCTGCTAGAACTGACCATCCCACAAAATCTGTAAAATCGTTTTATCTTAAAAAGACAAAAAATATCAAGGCAAAAAATCTAAATAAACAATCTAATGTATATGTAAACATAATATAACGGTGCTGAAGGAAAAAAAATCTACGACTTTTGTTATTATTGTTGTTGTTGTAGTTAGTTCTACATTTGTGGCACTGTAACGGTCACGTTGTGTTTGTGTTCAGTGTTCAGTTGTGTTCCGTTAATTCATGGCCTTTCTGTTGGAGTAACGTACATGTGGGTGTGGGTGTGGGTGAGGGTTGCGTTTTGCTGTATATCCTTTCCTCAGCAGTGCTTCAGTAGTGAGTGGTGACATGACTGTTGGTCTTTCCTGCAATCATTTGCAACAGACCCATGTGATTAATAGAAATGTAGGCATTTTAATAATAGCTTTAGTCTCAAAACCTTTCAAACATTCACCACTGCACAGTGGAGCATCTCTTAGTTGTGGAATGTGTTCATCAATAAGTAAGGGATTCGATTGTGATTTTTTTAACCCTTTTTTTAGCAAAGAAATAGGCAGGGCTGACTCATTTTGTGAGCAGTATTTCTGAAATCGTTTTGCCAACCACTTAAGTTACAACATCTATTTCAAAACATGTCAACTTCCGCTGTCCACCCCTTGCTCTTCTTTTCAAAACTTTATCTTTATCGAAGCTGTGTTTCTGAGCGAAGGTAGCAGCGTCAAAAGCGATTTACAAACTATGGTGGTTTGGAGTCATGCTGGGTCTACTATGATTATCTGACTAGTGCCCAGAATCTGGATTGGGCTTGAAAGAGGAGAGGAGAAGAACATTGTAAGGCTAGTGGAATACTTTCTGTGCCTTCCAGTTTCTAGGTGGTGAGTTGTTCTCATTTCTACATCAGTTTGATATTGTGTAAAAGAGCAGCGCTTTGCATTGCTTGTGGTTTTAGATTTTATGTGTGATTGACAACAGCGTGGTGAAGATAACAGCCTTTATACAATCGGGACCTATGGGGTGCTTATAATCTCCAGAATAGACATGATGTACTTTTAGCACAAAACTAAAGCAACATGTATCAGGGAGCATTTTATTGTCGCAATTCCCTTGACAGGACAAAGCCTGCTTGGATTGTGACAAACATCAAGCATCAGCTCTCACCTTTGCTTTTACACTCTCTGATTTATAAAACTACAGTCCTCTGGCTTTAGATGGCTTCCATTAAAAAAGAGAAGTTGATTTTCCCTCCAGAATATGCATCCAAATACAGTACCTACTGTATATTCCATATTTTATGTTTTCACAGTATTATCATTCAATACTTTCTTGTAGTGATTCCTGTAATTCCTGTTTGAGGATTATTGTGTAGCAATAAAAACAGCAACTGGAATTTATATATACCTGTAATTATAAATTGCAATGCCCTACAAAAATGTGTAGCATCCAGTAGATATACTCAAAGAAAAGAAAAAGTCTTCTTTCTTAGTGTGTTTGTGCATGTGCGTTATTCTGTGGGTCACATGAGTCCTTCAGTTTGTCTTTTCCATTTCCTCTTGTTGAAGGGATAGTTTTTGTCTTCTCTGTGCCTGTAAGCCTGGTTATAGCTCAGCCTTCACTTTTTAAAAATGCATGACTAATTCTAGGCCACCAAACGACCATGTTTGGTGAATATTTGTGCATAAAATTCCACAAGTGCAAGAAACTTGGTCACTTTGCTTTTAGAAGGCTCTCATGTAGAGTAAATAGGACCCAGCCTTTTAAAACAGCAAATTCAATCTACCGTATATAGAGAGAGCAGTTTTGTATATTTTAATTAGAAATCTGCAGACTCATGCATATGCAATTGTTGTATCTGCTTTAAGTCATGTGCTCTAGTCTGTCTTAATACAGTAAAACAGTGCAAGTTATCTGTTGTTCTTAATAAAAGAAAGCCTTAAATATTACATTGCCAGTGAAAAATTTTTCTTTGTAAACAAATTTTGTAAAGATATATCTAAACAGCATGTATTTTTAATGTTCCTGAGTATTCAATCTAATGATTGCTTTTTCTGTGTTAGATATATACTGTACGTATCTGAGGTGTGAAAATTCTCTGCCAGATATTTGTATTAAAGCCTGTTTTATCCATTAAAAGGGTTTTTGACACATTAGGCTCATTACAGCTTGTAATTTGTGCGTTTTAACTGAGCAGTTCTGTAAAATGTACTTGTCTGATATTCTGTGTGTATGTTTATCTTAGAAGGAATCCCTCATACAGGATTTAAATGAAAATTATGAGATTATGCCAAATAAACTGGATCTTCATTAGCATTGTGAAAAACGGCGTATGGTGCACTACCTGTATAGATTATAAAGATGTGGAGAATAGAGCAGCACAATGATGAAGATTTTGTATATTACAGTTAGTAGGCGATAAATGTCACTGGCTAAAAAATGATCCTATTAATAAAATACATAGAAAATCAAAGGTTCTAGTCAAGATTCTTTGATTTATATTTTCATTATAATTTCAGGATGAAACATGGTAACTTCTGGACATACTGTACGGTACCTTTGGTCTGATTAACATTCCATGAATTGTCCAAATGTAATTTTTTTAAAGGGTCAAAAGTTTTAAGAAGAGTGCAAATTGTCCTTTGGTATCGGTGTTTAGTTTTAAGTAACTACAATTTCAATAAACTCGAGATGTTTAGTATTGATTAACAGTTGGGTGTGTTTGCTTTAAAGTATTAGAGATATTAAGAAATAGTATATTTTGCCCTATCAAAGACTTACGTGCAAACTGGAAATCAAGTTTTGAGATTTCTCTGGAGTGAAGGCAATCCTTGAATACAATGTTTCGACTTCTTAATTTTCCACACATTTCTATATAAGATGGTGCTTGCTTTTAAACTGTTCCAGATACCTTCATACTGTATGAAGCCATCAGATCCTGAAACGGACACTGTACTACTAGAATTCCAATACTTCATGTGCCTTGTGCAACAGTGTGTAAATGATGTGTAGGAGCCCGACTTAAGTGAAATAATGTTCAATAAATGAAAAGGCTACAAATGGTTAAAAAGATGTGCATTTTCTAAATGCAGTAAATATTTGCATCATTCCAACAGCAAGTTTAAAATCAAGGCCAAAGTGATCATATTTGTGGCTTTACTACAGTACAGTTTTATTTGACAATAGTCTTGCATATATTGTAGGGTGAAAGAGGAAATATTCTAGCATACAGTACCTATCTTTCAAATACCTGATGCTGAGGGTTGTGGATGTGTAGAAATAAGCTGCCCAGCCACGTTGTAGAAGTCAGTTTCCTGGGATCCTTCAAGAAAAGTCCTAAGGAAATCCTGTGATCAGCAATATTCTCAAATGATTATTTTAATAGATGGGTGTCTGTTAAGGAATGCCAATAAATTGATAAGACAGGTTTAAGATTGAAGAGGAACAAGCAGCATCACATTCACCCCAGTTTCTTCTATCCAGTATTTATATGCTGCTTCCAGACTTCTGTTCTACTGTGCAGGTTTTTTTTTTCAGAAGGGCTACAGAATTCCTTGCTAACTCCTGTAATGGTGTTACTTTCCTGATTCTTGGCTCAGCTGTTAGGGGGTGATTTATTTTTTCCTCAATCTGATCACTGTCAATGTAAACTGCCATAATTTATTTCAATTATTGTGTAACCTTTACACGACATGCAGACTTATCAATCAAAGATGCAACCTTTAAATAAGAGGATGTGTTTATATTTTATGTAGATGCTGTGAAATCTGGTTAACAGAATAACCAAATGTATTCATTTTATCAACATGCAGTTGAAACATAAGATGAAGGTCATTATATCTGCTTGTATAAAGAGAAGAATATTAAGATACACAAACTAAGTGTGAGTTAGTCATCCATTTGTTTATAGTATATACATGCCCTATCCACTCTCTTGACAGCGGATTGCAGTGTCTGATTAACACATGCTTTCAGATTCCCTTTTCAGATGGCCACTGACAGACATCTGGGGAGTGATTTGTTTGCATATTTTTAAAAATAAATTGGTTTCAAACTGCAATCAGTGCAAAAATAAAAAATGGGGTATGAAAACAAATGAGGAAACTGAAATGTACAGTGAACCATGATATTTAAATTATGTTTTGGGGATAGAATGAGTTAGCCATAAAGATTCCATTAAGTCAACTGTAATTGCCTAGATATTCATAATATATTCATAACTATAAATGTGGTAATGACTTTTTTGATGCAGTGATGTTGACAAATATTAGCCCATGTTAGAGACCTTTGTACACACGTAGTAGCTCCTGAATTCTCTCATAACAACACATATCAGTTCACTATTGTGTTAGTAGGACAAATTTCATGGCTTCTCGTGTGATGCTGCTTTAAAGAGACCTAGAAGAATCCTTCCTCTCCTGAACCACAAGTGACTAAAGCTAAGCATTTACTTCTGATAACTGAAATGTTATTCTCTTGCTTGATAGAACCTGTGTGTTATTACCTGTTCAGCAGTGAAGTATTTTATTAAATATGCATTGCTGATTTCTTTGGTTTTTGGGTATTGTAGTATATCTCACACAATACTACAGCTTTTTCAAAAGACCATGACTTTTTTATTCAGCAAGAACTAATGATGAAGTTATTAGTGTGTGAATAAAAACCGGATTTTTATTCTCCAAACTGGCAGAAACTGAGACGTGAAAGCGGAACTGCAGCTGCAAGAAGTGGTTTTCTACTTCTGGTAAATGAGTGTGCAAAAAAAATGTAAGAATGAAAATCTTGCTTTCATGTTTGCGAGAGTTCCACTATGTCCTAATTGATTTCCCAAAGAATTAGTTTGTTTTTGTAAAAAAAAAACACTCTGCAAATATGTTACAAATAGTGAATAAGCTGTATTCAAAGATGTAATCGTGTTATTTCTGAAGTGACTAAAAAAAGCTTTGAAATCTTTAGGAATTGGGGAGTTCCTGTGATGCATTAGGGTGGAGACATTTGAAAGAAAGCTGACTTTTCACATTTAATCACACTTCCCTTTCTTTGCCATACTTTTCTGTTGCAACATTTTATCAAGATTTGCAATTTAGGGTTTGTACAGTTCTGCTGAGCCTTTAAAGAATTAACATTTATGAATAACTAACAAATAAAAGGATGCAGTTCATACTTTTAAACTCAACGGAAAAAAAAAACAGTGCGTTGATTTATTTTTTAAACACCAGCTTCAAATAGTAACACCTTCGTTTGAGGTGGAGAGATTGTATTAATGTATCATTTGTTACCGTAATGGCTTGTTTTGGTCAGTAGCGATTCATTTTTCCTGGCGATCTTCTCAAGAGAACAAGTGACGGTGTTCATAAATCAATACTTTGGGACATATCTCTTAGTATTAATAGTGTCTGTATAGGTCCATTTCATTAGTTAATAAAGTGACAGAATGAATGACTGTGCTCCTTATCTTGGGCAAATCTGCTAAGTGAATCTCAAAGTAGGTGCGGTACAGAGCTCTAAAGAAGGCAAATGAGGCTGTCTGCTTGCTTGGCAAGCTAGGAGTTAACCCTTATTTTCCGATCTTAAAATTGAATTAGATTTTCTGATTGTAGTATCTCCTTAAGGAATGCTTTCTTTAAAGTGAACCCCTAAGATGGATCTTGGTAAATTGCTCCTCATTCCAGTGGCCTAGAAAGTCTACAGTTACTGTGTGATTAACACCAATTGCTTTGATATAATTGCATTCTGCCTACTCATATTTTAAATGACCCCATGTAAAAAAATAGACACTTTAAAGTCTGCCAATTTGCAGATGCCTAAAAATAACACTCACAGAAATGTTATTTAACTTGGAAAGGTCAGGCTGTTTAAAGCCTGAAAACAGGATTTGAAAATT